GCTGAAAGGAAGACAGACCTGCTGAAAGGAAGACAGAAAGGAAGACAGAGGCGTTGCCAGCTCTTGTGCAAGAGCGCCTGAGACCCGCCTTTGTGGAGGTTCAGCGCAGGACTGTCCTCAGGTGACGCTTCTTGAGGTGTATCTTATCTTCACTGGATTCCACCTTACTTTGAGTCAAGGTATACAACTGAGTTACACGTAGATGGTCCCGGTCACATGTGCCGGAAAACGTGGGGGGGGGATGGCGATTTGCACCATCGCAATTTGACGCGCCACAACGTGATCAGACGCGATGGCATTGTTTCCATCGGCGGGTGTTTCTGGCGCGCTCCAACCAGGAAGCAGGGACGCGAGAGGTGCGCGCTGGAGCAATCACACGGAGCGCATCCGGCTGCAGCCCGTCGCAACCAGTCGATAGTGGATTTCCCCGGGTACCACCGATGATAAATTTTATATATGTTCTCTTTGTAATTGGTACTTCTCGTATAATTTACCGATTTCCATGTTTTTGCCCATTTCTCTAAACCTATATTATAGCCTATATCCCTCGACCACGCTATCATTGTTGTGTTAACATCTGCTTTTATAAACACCTGCCCTGTCTCCCTTTGGCTTTCTCTTTTCAATACTGAAAAGTCTCAGACTCTTCGGCCTTTCCTCATGGGAAGGGTGCTTCCGCCCCCTCATCCTCTTGCATGGCTGCTCCCATATTTTTCCCCAGCTCTGCGATGTCCTTTTTGAGATACTAGAACGGCACTAGAACGGCACACGGTGTTACCAAACGGAGCAGCAGCATCGCTCTGTACAAGGATGTTCCAACACAGGCCGTTTTATTTTCAGTCCCTTCCCTAAGAATCACTGGGAACCGAGTTTGCCATTTTCGCGGCTCTGCCCTGCCACACGGGGCTGACGCTTTCACTGCAACCCCATCCACCACGACCCCATAAGCAGACACTTAAAGTTGGGGGTTTCTTTGGTCCAGTGTGCGTCACTTTGCACTGCCCTGCACTAAACTTCACTGGTCACACTGCTGTCCACTCACCCGATTGGTGGAGATCTTCCTGGAGCGCTTTGCTGCTTGCCTTGGTTTTTGCCATGCTGAATAATTGCGTGGGCACCTGCAGACCTGGCCAGCCGCCCACTCCTTCCTTCCTTCCTTCCTTCCTTCCTTCCTTCCTTCCTTCCTTCCTTCCTTCCTTCCTTCCTTCCTTC